GGGGGGGGGGGGGGGGGGGGTTCAAAAACAAAAGCAATTTTTGTAACGGAAACATATTTCAAATTCAAGTACAATCCTAGGAAAACCGAAATTATCGTAAACATAACAAACATCATCGACTGGAATCATAACTACTACGATTTTCTAAAAAGTGGTCAGGTTTTAAGATCTTATATTCTTTTATTTTTTTTCTATTGTGAATCGCATCAAAAAATGAATCGTTTATTGAATCAAATTGCTAAAAACTCAAAAAACTTCAAGAATAGCAAAGAATTACAAAGGTAAGTTATCATTATAATAAAAAAGAAAAGAAATTTTAAAATTTGCATTCTTTGTCATCATTGTTTACATTTTTGGACTTTGAACCTGTGATTTTATGATTTCGCTTCTTTCAGATGTTTGTCTACTCAAACTAAAACGAAAGCCTCGAATGAAAACAAGACGAAAAATGTGCCAGCAAGTCAACAAGTCAACCAATCATTTGTGCACAATTTATTCCGAGGTCAAGTTGAACATTCTCAGGTTTTCCCATTTCCCATTGCACTCGACCAAGAACAGATTGAATACGTTGGTGCATTCATTGATCCGGTTTCAAAGTTCTTCTTAGAAGTTAATGATTCGTCGAAGAACGATTTAAATGAAGTAAATCATTTTTAAATGACTTTTTAAAGACAAGTTGATAATGAATGTGGTGAAATTTCAGGTCGTAGACGAGAAAACATTACAAGGTCTTTGGGAACTTGGATGTTTTGGTTTACAAGTACCAGCTGAATATGGTGGACTTGCATTAAACAACACTCAATATGGACGTCTTGGTGAAATTATAGGAATGCATGACTTAGGTTTGGGAATTCTTGTTGGAGCTCATCAAAGTATTGGCTTCAAGGTAAATTAATCTTTCGGAAATTAAAAATGATACGACACTACCGTCGTTATCTAAATAAAAAAGATTTCATTTTAAATACGGAACAAAGTTTCTTCGCTTTTGACGAAAGAGATAAACTTGTGTCAGTCGATGACGTCATAACGTAGACTTTACTCTTTCTTTTGTTTTTTATATTAAACGAAGATCATTTTACTCGTGTTCGCTATTTTTATAAACATTTCAAAGCTTTCATCAATAATATTATGCACGACATTAAAATTTATTTTTCTTTTTAAGGGTATTTTGTTGTACGGTACGAAAGAACAAAAGGAAAAATATTTGCCACAAGTTGCTGCCGGAGGTGTTTATGCTGCATTTTGTTTGACTGAACCATCAGCTGGATCTGACGCTGCTTCAATCAAATGTCGAGCTGTGAAGACGCCCGATGGCAAACATTATATTCTTAATGGTTCAAAAATTTGGATTTCTAATGGAGGAATTGGTAAAATGAATAAAAACGGAAATCTCGAATTGTTATTTAGATTGGATTTTGTTTATTTTTCTATAGCTGACATCATGACAGTTTTTGCACAGACAGAAGTGACTGACGAAAATGGTCAAAAGAAGGACAAAGTGACTGCTTTTATTGTTGAAAGAGGATTTGGCGGTGTGAGGTAAAATAAATTTTAATTCGTTTAATCCAAAATAAATTTCATAAGTTGGTTTATTCTTTCATCAGCAATGGCCCACCTGAAAAGAAGATGGGAATCAAATGTTCAAACACTGCTGAAGTTTACTATGAAGATGTGAAAATTCCTGTTGAGAATGTTTTGGGTGGAGAAGGAAATGGATTTAAAGTTGCGATGAATATTTTAAATAATGGACGATTTGGAATGGCGATGACACTTTCAGGGACGATGAGAGCTTGTTTGCAGAAAGCAACTGATCATGCAACACAAAGAACTCAATTTGGAAGTAAACTTGACACATATGGAGGAATACAAGAGAAGATTGCCAGAATGAATTGCCTTCATTATGCTACACAATCAATGGGTTTTATGATATCCGGTAACATGGATAATGGTTCAAACGATTATCATTTGGAAGCTGCAATTTCGAAAGTTTTCGCTAGTGAATGTGCATGGTTTGTTTGTGATGAAGCGATTCAAATTCTTGGTGGAATGGGATACATGCATGGAACGGGACTTGAACGAGTTCAACGTGACTTGAGGATCTTCAGAATCTTCGAAGGAACAAATGATATTTTAAGATTATTTGTAGCTTTAACTGGAATTCAGTATGCTGGTTCACATTTGAAAGAACTTCAAAGAGCTTTCCAGAATCCAACAGCAAATCTTGGACTTATTTTCAAAGAAGCATCGAAACGAGCATCTTCTTACATTGGTTTGGGAGGTGTTGACATGACAAACTTTGTTGAGCCTTCGCTAACAGATCCAGCGAAACTATGTGGAGAAAATATTGATATGTTTGCTAGAGCTGTTGAGTCACTTTTGATTAAGTATGGAAAAAATATTGTCAATGAACAATTCCTTCTAAATCGCTTAGCTGACTCAGCTATTGACATTTATGCGATGGCATGTGTGCTATCGCGATCTTCAAGATCGATTAAACTTAATTTACCATCAGCTGATCATGAGAAACTTATGGCAGAAACGTATTGCATTGAAGCTAACGACCGAGTCAGAAGTAATTTAAGAAAAGTTCATAGCGCTGAATTTAATGAAAATTATAAAAGAATGTCTTTAATTTCTAAGAATTCTTGTGAAGTTCATGACGTTGTACAAAATAATCCTTTGGGTGTTTAAATGTTTTTCTTTTTGTTTTAAATATCATGAAATGAATTTTTTGAAATTAGGTAGGTATTTAAAATTTTATTCCGACAATTTAATTAATAACGAAAAATGTTTTGAGTTTTATTTCTGTGTTTAGTGCAATGAATATAGAATTATTGAGTTAGAATAATTTATTGTTAACATGCGCAACAATTAGAATAAGTTTCATTCCTCAAATAAAAGATTTTTTCTTCCCAAAATATTATTCTTTTATCTTTAAAAGTTTCTTGCATTAAATTACTTTCAGGAGTTTTTTTTAAATTTGAAATTTTCAATTTCAATCTTGCTAACAGTTTCAATTTACCTAAATGTCAATTGTAAAAAGAGTTTAGCACTTATCATAAGGTTCTAAAGATCATGAAACTTAAAAGATTTTGATCTTTAGACTTTAAGGCGAAGCAGCCTTAAGATGGATGCAGTCATTATTGAATAATAATCTGTAACATTAATCAACTAAAATTCATTATTGTTAAATTAATGAGAACTTTGAGAAAAGAATTAATAATGTGAAGTAATCAATCAAATCCAAGTGTCACATTTATGAACGAAGCGTCTTAGTGAAGAGTTAATCAAAAAGAAAATTTTCTCAAGGACTAAAAATTTAAAATTAAATGTACTTTGACATGTTTATACCGAAATAAGTCCAACGCCATTTGATAAGATATGAGAGATATATGTATAGAGTGGACTTAAATGTAGGTCAAAATGATTTTGTATTTAGAAGTATAAAAGAGTAAGCCTGAAATATTTCACCATTCAGTTTTTTAAACAATTTCATTCAATCAAAATGGTCTTCCGATTTTTGATCTTTATTGTGCTGGCAGTTACTGTCCATGCAGTGTTTTTAAGTGATGAAGAAACAACGAACGGAAATGGTCGCATTATGGGGGGAACTGCTCAAACTTTCACAGCAATGGCATCGATAAGAGTTTTTGCACTTCAAGGAGATTTTCATGTGTGCGGTGGATTCATTGTTTCACCACAATTCGTTGTCACTGCTGCTCAATGTACCCACCAGAGAGTTGCTTCTCTATTAAGAGTTCGTGTTGGAAGCAACTCCATTAATCCACCCAGGTTACATCAGATCAGATGTATTCGTTATTTTAATGATTCAGCTGGCTCTTTTAACGTAGATATTTATTCATTGCATTCCCAATCATAAATCAAAATTTCTTTCATTAACATTTTTTATAGCCTACGACAAAAGAAAATGACATAGCTTTGCTTCGAATGGAAACAAATATTGTCCTTGATGCCACAACATCGGCAATAGGCATGGCGATGCCAAATTCGTTTAATGATCCTCCGGTAGATGTTCATATTTTCGGTTGGGGAGCTACTACCGCAGGTGGAGCTTTACAAACTACTTTACGCAGAGGTATTTTCAGAGTTGCATCACTGGCCAATTGCAGATTGAATTTTCCAGCTGTTGTACGCAGTTCAATCTTGGATAGTCATATGTGTACTTCTTGGGCTGGTCGTGCAACTTGTGCAGGTTCTGAAAATTTTCATTCATAATTATATTTCCTTTTGATGTAAAAATTTTTTATTTTGTGTAATGAAATCCTCTATTTAGGTGATATTGGAGGTCCAATTGTGCATCAAAATCAAGTTGTTGGAATTGTCTCATGGGTTGATCCATGTACGGGAGGACAAGTTAATGTTAATACAAGAATGTCTGTTTTCTCGACATGGATAAATACAGCAATCTTTGTTACTCAGGAATGCCCAGTAAGTGTTCCCGGAAGTGAAATAAATATGTAGAATAAATTTATACAGACATGTATGAAAGTTATAACAATAAAGCAAATTAATACAATTGTATTACCGCTTATTTATTTATATACTTTTTGCACTGGTCGTGCAACCTGTGCAGGTTCTGAAATTTTATATTCGTGATTCCATTATTACGTTATTTCCTGTCATTAAATTCTCTAGGAGATGATAGTGTTTTAATCGTGTTCCCGAAAAAAGTAATTGAAATTGTCTCATGGGTTAAAACATGCACGGGATTCCTCAATGTTTGTTTCCTGAATATTTAGTTTTATTTCAAGCAAGAAATGATAATCTTTGTTTACTTGACACAATTTGAAATAATTGCAAGTAAAATTTATTATTCCCAGTTGTAAATGTCTAAGAATTAACATTGTACGGGTAACTCCTCGATGACGGTGCGGGAATATTTCCTTGTATTACAGAACTTTTAACATAAAATTATTAATCAACCTGACATTCTTAAACGAAATTTCTACTCTCACCTTCGTCTTGTTTCCATGTAACTTGTCGTCTTGTTTCCATTTTGAAATTTTCGGGAGAACTTCCCGAATAACCTATGTAGGTCTCTTGACATCAATCTGTACAGCCGTGGATGAGAAAATTTCTCACAATCTTTGCAATTATTTTTACATAAGCGCATTTGAAAATGATTTCGTAGCAAATAATCGCTACAGCTGATGGATATTCAAGCTATGAACATTGAAGAACATCTGACACTTTCTGCCAAGCACGATTGATAATCTTCAAATAGTTGGGGTTGTCTGCATAAAACCCCCAATCTATTGCTATGACACAACCTTATTTAATGCATCAGTTTGGCCGGTAAGTGTGGTCCCTGGGAGCCAATTGAATGTTTTATCAATACTTGTTACTTAATAAAAGCAAGCTCAATTATTTAGAATTAATTGAAAAAAGAAAAAGTATTAAAATTAGAAATTTCATATTCTGTTTTCACTCGCAAAATTAATCTTGAAATGTGATAACATCAGAGAGAAGAAAAGATTTTATATCTAATTAAAGTGACATTGTACAGCTTTTTATTATTAAGTCAATAAGATAAGAAAAGTCAATAAATCATCCATAAATAAAAATGCCTTCAAAGATAGTAATTTAAATGTGATCTGATGTTTGTTTCATTAGTTACATTATTGCGTTATTGTGATTAGAATAGCTTATACTTGTATAATTTGTATAATTATAAGCATACTTTAGTAAGCCTTTTATAGATTGTTGTTGTTACTTAATATCAGTGGGCGAATATTTTTAGCAAAGTCTATCAAAAACAAAAACCCGACGTTATCTTATCTGTTTAATTCTGCCGATATTTGCAATAATTAACATAGCAAAAATAAAGTAAGGTCACTTAAGTAACTTAAGTAACTAAAGAGATTTATGATTTTTTCTTGGAAATTGCTTTCAAACTTGTTGGGATTAATTTTATCAACAACCTTAATTAAAACTGAGCGACGAAAGATAAGAAAATTTCAGAAATTTAACAAGGAAATCGATTTGGCGGATCGAGACAGATTAATTTTTGTTTTTTTTCTTTCATCTGTAAATCGATTGGTCGATATTTTGATAATTTGTGTACAGAGGGCGGGGAAAACCTGAAATATTGTATCGAAATGCCGTTCGAAAATTTTTTGTATCACACAGCTCTGGTTTGTGTGTATCCTGGTTCACATCCAATAGTATGTTGGATCGAATTAGTTTAATATGCAATCGCAAAAAAAGGTCAGTCAGTGTTGAACACTGACAAACTAGTATTAGAGCATGTTCCATGACAGACTGATGAATTTGATGGAACTGAAGATAGAACTGTGACTGATGATGACAAAATATATGTCAAAACTGTAAGCATCAACGAGTTTCTGGTAGGTCCGGCATGATGGAAACACTTAACTAAAGTTTTATTAATAAATATCGTGAATCGGATCACTGATCCAAAAATTTATGTGTCGCTCAGCTCTGGTTGTGTAACAGAATGTTAAAACTCCTCCCATAATTAGCGAGATAAGAAATCAAGAAAAGTTTAAAGCACAGATATGAGTCAAACATTAAATTAAATATATGCAAAAATCCGAAAAAAAGTGGTTTTTGCGTTGTTTGAGATGAAATAATTTTAGTTCTTATTTGTTGTATTCATTTTTTTCCTTGTTAAACGTGTCGCAACAAGAAGGATTGA